TTGTATATTTTTGTATTATTTGGGTGAGGATGGTGTCTTCATACTGAATTTGTCACCCCACAATCCACTCAAAAAAAGTATTATGATACAAACTTAATTATAAAATGCATTTATTTCTTTAAAATAATTTTATGGATATAATAAAGAATAATAATAAAAGACTGGGTCTATTGTGTTGATGACATGCACCAAATAAGGGAAGTTTTGGCAATGTTCAAGCAGTGAAACAGTCCAGGCCTTGTGTCTAGAGTAAAGTCGATATCTGAATGTCTTAAGAAAAGAAAAACTGGATCAAAAATAATTACAAAACTCATAAAGAATTAAACCAGAACAAGTAGAAAACATGGCGCATGGGTCAATTCACATTGAAAAAAAAATCACAAATTTGGAGCAATGCACATATTGAAGGGTTCAGAGGAACTTATCAAATATATGTTCTAATGGAATACTTGAATAATTGTGGTAGCGGTCTCTACAACATCTGCTGCTCCTTGCACATTTAAAATATTCTGTTAGGAACAAAATTACATGTTAGTAAGTGTTTACCTTTTTGCTTAAAGAAGCCATGTATCATTAACGTCTTGACTTCTTTATCTAGTAGAGAAAATAAGGAATTTATCAAATGTCAAATATAATTAAAATTAATATTTTTAGGGGGGCAGTGCCTAACCACTGACAGGGGCTCCCGAGTTAAATGACCAACTCGACGATATCCACCCGAACCACAGCAGATCCCAGGTCCACGGAGACCACCAACCGCTGGGGAACCGCGAGACCTACCCACAGACACCAAGCATGTGGGGGTTCCGAACCGCACGACCCGCTAACCTCCTGAGGCCACAAGGCACGGGCGCCATGGGACAGAGGGAAGCTCTCCCGCCGCCACGACCCTGGATGGAACCTACACAGAGCTCTCGTCCGTCCCCCCCAGGCCGGAGGGGGTTATCCCGGTCCGCATCAGGATGGTATGTGCGCTCACAAAGGCACCGGAGGCAGACCGGGGCATGCATGTAGACAGCACAGGGACCTGTAAAATGGCACCTGCAGACCACGCTGTTGAGCCAGAACGCACCCAGCCCCTACACAAGCGCCTGGACGACCTGTTCCAACGTTTCTGGGAGAAGCTGTAGCAGAGAAAAGCCCAACAAATCCCCACACACTACAAGGTGGTGGAACAAGGGGAGAACACGTGGCGGAATGGGTAGACCCCAGGCAAGGCAGCTTCAGTCCAACGGACTGAGCGCCCTTCTAGGCCGGAGGTCACCAGGAGACTCTCTCCGAGACATCAACCACCTTGCAGGAAGGATACCTGCCGCTGCACGTCTACCAGGACCTTCCGCAGCGCCAACAATGGGGAGAACCCGAGTCTGTGGAGCACGGTGTCGACCCCACACAAGGCCTGAAGCTGGGGAGAAGCCGCCCTACGCATGCAACCCTCCTCCACAACACAACACCCACTTCGGCCCTTTGGCAACTTCATCACTTCGGAACTCCGGCATTTATGGACTTTTCTTGCAGCCGCTTGGTAGATAACTCCCTAATTCCCATGGTATTAGGGAGTTATCTACCAAAAGGCCGAAAGACCTAAATTGGTCTTTCAGCCAAATTTATTAATACTAAGTAAAAATTACTTAGTATTAGTAAATTGTGCCCCTACTCGCTATACCGCAAGTAGGGACATGTCAATTAAACAGTGAGCAGCCACAGGCCCCTACCTACCAACCCCTACCTACCCCCCTCACCCTAAAAATAATGAGGGGGGACCTTTAACTAAGTACCTGTAAAAATAACAATTATCCATCTTCACCCATGGAGGGCTCCGTGCAGACTGAGCTCTGCAGGGCGGGAAGGCTTATAAAGCCTTGCCCCACCCTGCAATTAGGATCAGAGCACTCTGATTGGTGGGTTTAAGCCATCCAATCAGAGTGCTCTGACAGGTAAATGAAGAGACTGACAGGTAAGTCTCTACATTTACCTGTCACAGCACTCTGATTGGTTGGTTTGAAATCCACCAATCAGAGTGCTTGGTGTCATTTTACACAGCGTGGGAAAGTTCTTTGGAATTTTCCCACTCTGTGTAATTTGACTCATAGCACTCTGATTGGTGGATTAAGTAACCAATCAGAGTGTTATGAGTCAAATTACACCTATTGCCCCCCCTGGCCCCTACTCCTGAGCGGCGAGTTGTGGCCCTAAAGTAAAAAAAGGGGGGAGGATCTATTGTCCTCCCCACCAGCCCCCACCCCTGAGCGGTGGGTGGGGGCCCTAAATACAAATTCGGGGGGACCTAATGTCCTCCCCTCTGGCCCCCACCCCTGAGCGGTGGGTGGGGGCCCTACACTAGAATAAGGGGGGGGGGGACGTAATGTCCTCCTCCCTGACCCCACCCCTGAGTGGTGGATGGAGGCCCTAAACAAGAATAAGGGGGGGACCTAATGTCATGCTTAAAGGGTTACTCCATCAAAAAATAAGTGTTTTCATAAAACCCTTTGAGGCGGTACACTCCCCCAACGTTGAAAAGGTTAAACGAACACTAACTTACGTCCATTCCAGCACCAAGGCCAAGTTCTGTCTGAAGCTCAATCGTCCACAGCTGACACCATTCCTCCTTACTGGGAAGGGAGTGTGGTCTGGGAGGACAATGGACTGAGTGGAGGACAATGGACTCAGTGGAGGGCAGAGGTTGGCAACAAACACACATGTTGCACAGAATTAGCATTAGCCAGCGTCAAACTTTTGTTCCTGGCTGACTAATTATGCCACCACTGGAGGTTGAGGAACACGTCAGTTAAGGGGCTAATATCTGTATGAGCAGCGTTTCAATGTGAAACACCGCACATAGAGGATGCAGGTACCATGACCACATCAAGTCTATGAAGTGGTCATGGTTCTTGGAGTAAACTTTAAGTATGCCTATTTATCGTGGAACTGGGTATCCCCATCTTGGCTACCTGCCAGTCATTGTTATAAGCTCTATCCTTTGTACCTGACAGTCAGCACAGAGAAAGCAGGGAAAGAGGAGAAGAAATGAGACTATATATATATGTCTTCTACTCACTTGCAACGTTTGTCCTGACTCTGCCTTGCCTGAAGTGGATTATAATGTAATTTACTAAATATTTAATATAAATGAAAAGAAAACAACGCATCTGATGAAAGAAAGGTCTATATAAGTTATAAGCGAGTTTCAATATGTTTTTTCAGTGGTATAAAAGTGACATTTCTCCTTTAATGGAGAATAGAATAATCAGTCTTCTTCTCTGTGAAAATATAGTAAATGGCATGAAGGACCCACAAAGTGAACTCAACATCCCTACTAACTCTTTTGGTAGGTCTTGACAGCAATTTTCTTGCAGTGTCATTTTATATTGACATGCTATAGAAATACGACTTGATAATTACTAGACTTGTGCATTCTGTTGCAAACAAACTTGAATTTGCCCACATTAAGGCCGATCAGTGGGTTGTCTGAATTCTGTAATGTTTAAGTGCCATTTAGACATATAAATGAACTAACGAATCGCGCAATGCATAAGCATGGTCATGTGATTCATGATTTGGACTTTCTTTCATGGTCACAAAATAAGAGATGAGTGATGGGAAAAAAGGCGATTGATGGTAGGGGTCAGCCACCAAATGTTGATTCTATTCAAAGATTAACTCAGAAGTGACTAACCAATCCCTCTATTTGTTACTTTTTCTCACTTGATATGTGAATCAGATAGAGTAAAAATGTGTATTTGTAAAATTTATATAAAATATTCATGTTTTGCAATATACAGATTGATCTATTTTTTGCATGTTTTTGGTTAATTTTCCTGAATATTTTTGCATGGACAATATTTGAATGAGCCGAATCACAACGAATGACTATTTCAGAACTTAAACTAAAACTGATCGGTCCAACTAACTTTTTTTCTGCTGTATGCAGGTCTATTATTCACCTCCTGGTTTCTATGAACTGTAGCAGTGCTAATTAAGGACCACATTAATAAGGGCTTTCCATTCATCTAAAATAAGTAAAATGGTTTAGTGAGATGGTGGAAATCCAGATTCTGAATCTTTAGATGCAAACTGCATGTTGTTTGAGAACTGTTTTCTTTCCACTAATATATATTACTCTGTACTAAATATTTCTCTCTAAATGACAAAAAAACACATTTTTTTACCATTGTATTGCTAAAAGGACAAGGGCTTACTGTTTGCCCTTTGCTCTTCTGGTGAGACATAAAAGACTTATCTATAACCAGAAAAGTTACAGTGTAACTCTTTAATACTATTTAATCGCCTACATTTATAAAGACAGGAATAAAAGATAGTTTTCCAGTCCAATCAAGAAACTCATTGTTATAGTACAGGGTTTACTAAAGATCAGCACTCCTTTTGAAATCATCCTTGAAAGGTGTGTGTTTGCAACATCTGGGGATCTTCCTTTGGCTGCCCCTTTCATAGTATGTTATAGTACTTATGCAAACTTTTAAGTTTTATCTTCAAAATGCAGATAGCTAAAGGCTTCAAAGAAAAATGACTAAAAAATCAGTTTGAGATATTACCAGGTGATATCAAGATGTTATCCAGAAATTATTAACAGACACGCCTTAAACTTATAATTTATTTCAGACACACCTCGTGATTTTATTAAAAAGAAGAATTATTATTTGGATAACCATATGGTGACTCAGATATATGCTACCCCATGTACTCATCAGATAAAAATTCTGAATGTCCTAAAATACAATAGGAAACACAAGAAGAATTCCTATTTTTATAGATGTAATACAATCAGTACTTTGCAGAACAAAGAATTAATTTGTGATTCCAATAATTATAAGCGTAAATATTTGAAGTCAAAACATGTTCATTTGTGTAATCCTATCCTTGTGATTTTCAATAAACAGAATATTTATAGGCATTAAATTCATGTGATGCAGGTTAACTTCTAATTTTTGTATACAGAAATCAACATTTAATCTTAACATTCAATCTCTCATTCATCTTACCTCTCAAAAGCCTTCTCCACCATCTGCTTAAGTTTCCCAAGGCTGTTAGTGTTGACATCTGCTGGGCTGTCTCTCAGACTGTTCTCGCTCCCATTGATCCTTGGCCACAGCATCTTTAACAGGCAAGGGCGATGTACGCTTCAATTAAATATTGTAAAATATACAAAATACAGTAACTGGTTGAGATACCTTTCCCTTCGTCAGTGTGTAGAATATGCCTGCAGACTTATCTTAACATTGCTTCTATTTTTACAGAGCTCAAATATGTCTTAACATAGACGAACAGATTTTCAGAATATTGAATAAATGTATATGGAGTATTGTAGTTTGCTAACGTATTAAATTAAAATAGTACATAAGATATGATTCAGCAAGGTTTACAGAAGATATGGTTTACAGAAAGGGCCGTTAATATGGAAAATTTGTTGTCATAGGTGATATTGAAGGATCCAGTTAATGGGATATTGTAGACACCTAGTTCACTTCATCTCAATGAAGTGGTCTTGATGAACTGCCCCTGTCCTCCTAACCCTATAAGTGAAAACATTGCAGTTTCAGAATCTGTTAGAGGTGCTTCCTGGATTCTGAATGAGGACATCCAGTGTCTCCAAAATCTCCATAGGAGAGCACTGATTCAACGCTTTCCTATGGAGAAGCTCTAATGTGTGTGTGGTGCTCACCCCACATGTGCATTAGGTACTCCATCAGCATGCTATCACGGGAGGAGGAGACCAAGCCAGTGCCGAGGGAGCCACTAGAATTAAGGTAAATGATAAAAAGGTTTTTAATGCTTTCATGCTTGTTGGGAGTAGACAGACCTAGTGTAGACAGACCTAGTGTTATTGACAGGGGCATACTATAGCATTTGCAGTTTGTATTCCTAATGCTATAGTGGTCATTTAATGCATTGTTTAAACAAATGAATAAACTTTTATTGACATTATATGCACTGTCTATAGTCAGGAAAAATGATGCCTTAAAGAAGATTGAGCTAGTGGTTCAGTTGGTCATTATATCCGGGGCAACAATGACTTGACTTAATTTTAGCTGCTGGTTTTCTAAAATATGGTGGTCCTTTCATGGCTACTATCATAAGGAAGCACTGCTGACTGGTATAGTAATGTAAATACTTTAAAAATGTTTGACAAAATTCAGGAAACCAAGGGGAACTCAACTTTTAAGAGAAACCATGAATTCATTTTAAACAGAAATAGAGGCTGATGAACAGGTGGTACCCAAATTAATGGCACTTATTTTATTGACATCAGAAGCATAGAAACTAGAGTTGATCCTACTAGGAATTGAACTTATAGCCCAGGGAGACGAACAGGCTCTGCATGTCATTCATTAACCACTCACCTTTTTATGTCACTATATTGTGCCTTCAAGGTATGCTTCTCTGTAAAAAGATAGAGAACAACTGATGAATAATTAGTAAAGAAAGCAGAACTGTCTCTTATTTGAAGGTTCCTCAATATTTCATCCCAGTAAACAATATTAAAGCATTTATTTGGTTGAGTGTGGACTGGAATTAACTTACAAATACACTTACCTTTGTAACTCTTTGTGTTTAGGGTGATACCACTGCAGCATGATGCTATAGGAATACTTATATATACTCGCACATCTGTTGAGAGATCTGAGGGTAAGTGTGTTTGGGCATTTCTTCCATAGTGTCATGTGCACGCATGCATTCACTGTCACGGCCCCCCGGTTTGCCGCGAGGTGCGACTGCACCCAACCGGTGCGACCGTTCAGACAAACTGAGCTTACCTGCTCATCAGCGAGCCGGGAGCCACTCCACCGGGTTCTCCTGGCCGCCTGCCCAAAATAAATATGCGCCGACCATGCAAACGTGCGTGTGACGTCACAACATCGATGCACACGCACGTTCTGGGGTCAGAGGTCACCCTCTGACCAATCACAGTCAAAGGAGGGATATTTCAATCCCTGAAGCATCCCAGTTCATTTCCCTGTCATTCCTGTTTCCCGAGAGTGCCTTTTCTTGTCCTATTTTTGATATACCCGGTATTTTGACCTTAGTTATTCCTGACTATTCTGATTTCTGGGTTCCCTGACTTGACTTGTTAAACGGTATTGTATATTTCTGGATTCCTTGACCTCGGCTATCCCTTGACCATTCTCTGTCTTTAACGTATTAGTCCGGCCATTCTAAGGACCGGTTTACGTTCTATTCTTTCTGTTCTGTCTATGTAGATGTCGCATAGTTCTGCGTGCTGGACCTCACTAGCAGTCGTGACACCCACATGTATGGCACGGCAGGGTTTAAAGTCACTTACATGTTGTACCCTGACCGTTTTAGCACATCCTGGCATGTGAAATTAATTAAACAAAATAAAAAACAACCGAGATTATATTTTTAACACACGTCACATAACTAATTTTTAGTTAGTAATCAGGTTGCGCAAAAAAAATTCACATGTAACCAAATGCATCTAAATCTATATATATTATAAATGTTGCTTATCATTCTGACAATTGCCACATAAAAGCTTTTTGTGTCACCATGTGGCTGGACTCCTAAAATTCTTTTATCTAAACAGGCTGCAGGATTTGACTAAACTGCAAAATATTTGCTTCTGAAATTGCTTAAGTTATTTGTGATCCCATAGCTGAACTATAGCACAGAAATGTGTTGGCCATGACATTTGCTATTGCGAATGAGATATTTTAAGTAATTTCTAATTTGCCTGCAGTCTTTAGGACATGTAATTTCACACCTCAGTGCAAGTGTTAGCTTTTATGGTAATATCGGTGCCCCTCAGAGCCTATTTGGCACTTGGTGAACGTAGAGCATCGAAAGAGTTACTCTCTTAGCTCCCATCAGTGTTTGGTCTGCAACTATGGTAAAGGTTAGTGAAATGATACGTTTATGGAAGGTTATGGGGTGTTATATACATCAAATGGTGCAGACATTATAAAACCATCGAAGATCAAAGGGAGCTGGCATCCTTTATGTTCCAATATGTGTCTGTACAACAAAAGTAAGAACTTTGTGTTAAATTTTTATAGTCACTGGCAAAGAACATTTACTTTTCAATTGCCACATATTACACAAATGGGCCAAAGGAGAGAAAATGCGTGTGATAGCAATTTCACATTTCCCCTCCTCTTTAAATTATGGGATAGACACTTAACCTAGTTTGATTCCCAGGTGGTCTGGCTACAGTCCACGCTATTGTGGTTTGCTTAAAAGGATTCATTTATTTAAACAAACTGAAAGAAATAAGGAAAGCAATTCTTAAAAATACAATTCGCAGAGTTGAGGAAAAGAAAAAACAGCTTGATGTACATATTTTAGTAACATTTGAAAATGATAAGCATGTTAATTGTATGTAAAGATTACCCCTTGACTTATACGAAAGAGGGTATATGACTCCAGTTCCATGCCAACTCAGTTAAACATATTTTCAAACTGGGCGGGATTTTTTGACAATATTCTAAATTAAACCAGATCTGTTACTTTTGGTGTCTTTGCTAATTTGGCGTGGGTCTCGTGGCCGCGTGGAGCAGCGAATGGTAAGTTTTAGGTACCTCATGTTGTCCCTCATGGCCACAGCCATCTTCATCATCCTGGTCCTCTTCAGCTTATGGTATTTAAGGTGCCAGAAGTCATGTCTGTACTGTACTCTCACATGTGTGTGAGAGCGACAATAACACTGAGACCTATAGAGGATCCTGTGAGAGATATACAATTTCTGAGAATGTTCAAAGACAAAACATGATGGTGGATCTCCAGCTTCTGTCAATGTTTTTCATCCTTAATCTTGTCCAGTGTTTACATTACTGCCTAGTGACACCTCTAGTGGCAGTCACTCAGGCGACCACTAGAAGTGCTCCCTGGGTCAGTGCTGCATAGTGAGCAGCACTGACATTCACCGTCTCCATGACACGGAACATTCCTCATAGAGATGTATTGGCTCAATGCCTCTCTATGATGAGATGCTGATTGGCCTAGCACAGCGTTTTGATGAACTTCACTAAGGGAGAGTCATGACCAGCCATGACCAGAACTGTGCAACGCTCTGGAAGAAAGGGGATTTTACACCTTTTTAACTGTGGAAAAAAAGGGTCCAAGGGCTCAATGGTGATTTCAGAGCTAAAGTGTCCGGAATATATGTTTGTATTCATGAAACTATAGTGTTCCTTTAAGAATTCCTCATGGTAAGGCTTTAAAGGATACCTAAGGTCTTCTGCATTCTTGAGTGTTTCTGCTTGCTGAACTGTGATAGTATTTGTGACATGGTAACTGCAAGTCTGTCTCTCTCTCTCTCTCTCTCTCTCTGTCTGTCTCTCTGTCCGTTTATCCATCAGTCTGTCTGCCTGTTCAGGCATCCAGTAAGTACTTTTGATAGCTAGTTTATATATAATGTAGAAGACAAGGTTCCATGTAAGTGATACAATTTATTTGATTAATATTGTAAGAGCAAACACTAGTTTTCTTTATAAAATATATATAAATATTTGTGTAATTTTGCATTGTTTGCTCACTTTAGTAGAGCCTGCGGAGTTTAAACATGAAAACATGAAAAATCCTGAAAACTCCCGAATGACACAGCATGCATCGTAGTTCAGTGAGAAGGAAATGAAATGTGTTTGTGTATTGAATACCTTCTATTTCTCAGAAGACATGTGAAACAAAGAGAGCACTTAAAAGGTAATTTGTTGTTTCACAACAGATTCCCTGAATAGAAAGTTTACACTGGATCTCATTAAATGCCTTTAGATTTCCTCCCATATGTTCAAAGCAAATCCCTTTTGACTCGTTCAAACCTTGCAGTTTAACAGCACAAATACGTACTAATTGCAGCCCCCCAAGAAACAACACAGTTTAGCCAATATTAAAACAAAAATAAAATATTGAAATAAAAGCTCTAATAATTCTCCCAAGTATACCAGTTCGATAAAATGTTCTTGCGATTTGTAGACCTTGTACAGACTTTACACTTAATACTTCTGCCTGGCCTGACCTTTACATTGTTCTATAGTTTGCCTGCTGACCCACGACCCTGTCTATGTTCCTTTCTCTGGCTGACTTGTGAATCTTTCACATGGAGATTGGTCCGCAATGTAAGAGGGGAAACAATGGACTAATAAAATGGATCGTTTTCAAAAGGAGAAGCAATACGTTTTGGTTCTTACTGACCATTACAGTAGTCATTACATCAGGTATAAAATCAACCAAGTAAAATTGTACAAACAAAAATAAAATAACAAATATAACAATAAATAAATATAAAGGTGTATCTTTTCAATGATCAACTGCCACCACCTAATACGTGCACACAAACACTTACAAAATAAAACGTGTGTCTTTGAGGCTAAAAGAAAGTCCTTGCCAGGTATGGGTACAGCTTGAAAATAATCACATGAAACTCAACATAGGGTGATGTAAAATTGGTAAATATAAGGTACAGATATCATGTATAAAACAGAAGTCTTGACTTTGTTATTGATTAAGTGTCTGGCGTGCTCCATGTTTTACTACATATTTCACCGATATGGCTCTCAAAACATTTTATCATTGCTTAAAATTTAAGCCTTTGATCATTTCAGAAGACAGATCGTTGCCAACTCCCCCAGTTCATGTGCAAATTGATATCAATATTAGTAGAATGTAACATAAAGGATGTACCTGACAGTAAATTTAATCAGCTTAATGTGATATTTTTTTCTGAGAACTTTTAACATTTTTAAAGACATCTCATAGCAAGGAATACATAATCTGTCGAAAAACCTGCACACTAAGCTAGAAAGGTGAGACATGTCACGGACAAGTTAAGCAGTAACAGAAGAGATTTATCGAAGTGTTGTGTTATTAAAAAGGGGTGAAAAAAATGTATAAGGGGAGGAGTCATCAATTGAATGTGTCTGATTATTCCACTGGTTTCCATGGTGATTGCTCAACTTTTAGCACTTAGTCACTTTTAAAAACAGAATACTTTGATAAATATCCCCCACTGTGATCAACTGATTTGTGCAAAAAAAGTGCCAATCGCTACTTTATATTGATTTATGCATTTGTTATAGATACTTTGTATAGCTGTTGATTTTGAGCTAGCAATAGGAATGTGCAAAATATGCTATTTATTTTCACTTTTCTGACCGGTTTGCGCTAATTATTCTTTTATGTAGATAAAGTGACAGGTTTTTCTTTATTCTTTTAATAAGGCCAAACATTTACGATGCACTGCGATGGCTTCAGAAATGAACACTTTCAACACTTACTATCTTGCTCTCGCAGTTAAAAACGACATTAGACGGATATGGCATTAATAACACAAAAATGTAAAGTGTTTACAAATTGATGATGAGTAGCAATGCGTTTGTTGTTTTGTTTGTTGTTGTTTGTTGAAGAATATGTGAGATTAGGAGTTG